CGTATGATGAGGAGTTTTGAAATGGTTAAAAATGGTCGAAAATTATGTAAACAAGTTGATAATTATCATGGGTTAGAAGATATTGTCTTAAACGAATACTTGGAGTGTATTTCTGAATAGATCTACAGTGTCAACATCCATACTAACAATGGCCGAGAGTGCCTAATGCAGGTTCTAAAAAGTTTGAAAGCATTTTGTTCAGATTTAGTTGAAATAATTTATAGCCGCGCACTTTTAACACATATATGTGAACCAACACTTTGGGGAATCCTCTGTAAAACGTAGAAGTTTATCAAGGCATGGTCCAGAATAAAAAATCCTATACACGTTTTGGAAGATCTGTGAAGAGAATAATAAACTTAAAACACTACAGAATTGAGATCAGACTTCAAATAACTTTACCTTTCTTGATTATCAATAGAGTTAATAAAGTTCAGTACCCAAACATGGCTAGATAAAATTATGGCCAAAAATGTCCGCATGCTTGTTTATAACTACACAGTTGCAGTTGTTCTAGCGGTTAAAAGGGTGTGGTGCCTACACAAAATATTATTCAGAAGTAAGAAATAGAATATTAATTGCCATTTCTCCCAATAATAAATAGGAGGCGGGACTCTTGCTTTGCGAGGATGGATTTAGTATTATTACTGAAAAAGATATATATAAGCACCCTTTTTATGTCACTTGAACACGTTGAGATACTTTCCAAACACAAAGTTTACTCCATCTTATTACTTCCAACAAATTAAATATCTTGCCCTTGTTAAAACTATTCCAAGGATTCTGTAAATGTCATTTCTGTTGATCCTTACATAGAGATCCAAATGGATCCACCTGTTTGCTTGAATGTGGTCATACGGTACTACAGTTATGGTTTGTCACTTGCGGCAGTGGTTGGGCTTATGTCTGGGCGGGGCGCCTATTATACATATTGATGGCTTAGCACCATGGTTATTATACTAGGAAAACCTGAGGAAGAATAACATTTAATTTTGATAATATAATCACCAAATATGTAATATTATAGATGAAAGCAAATGCGGGTAGGAGCCCAAACCATTGCTGCAGTTAAGGCATACTGAAATAAAGTAATGGAAGTTCGAAAATTTTTATGGTAAATGGGCCAACTCTATTACATAATATTATTAACGAATTATAATCACTTTTAAACATCTTAGTTGACGCACAACAAATATAGAAATGCATGTACAATTAGATGGATGAATGTGTGTGTGTGTGTGTGTGTGTGTGTGTGTGTGTGTGTGTGTGTGTGTGTGTGTGTGTGTGTGTGTGTGTGTGTGTGTGTGTGTGTATATGTTTGTGTGTGTGTGCTCGCGCGTGCATGTACGTGTGCGTGTGCGTGTGCGTATGCATGTAAATATATAAGATATGAGTAGGATATACATGTTTGTCATATAACATTACTTGTTTAGTAAAATTGTACTTTTCATGCTCAAGTACTACAGCTACTACTATGCTAATTAACTTCATTTATTAACTTCTTGTAACTTCTTCTATGAACTTAAAGTATAATTAGTACGCTCATATATGCACTACTTTGTAAAACTGTTTATGCCATTTACCTGTTTGTACCATCACTGAACTATGTTACCACCACAGTGTTGTAGATATTCTGTATATCGTATAATATAATGTAATGTACATATGTGCTTCTGGAAATAAAGGACGTTATAAAAGAAAAGAAGAGACATTCATTAAACTAACGCCCGGTTAAAGTTTTAAGAAGCGGCGACCTTTGATGTTCTAAGTGCGGTTATTTACGGGATAATGTTTCCCTTTCATGTATGCAAGAACGAACGCAGCTAGGCGCACAAAACCGAACTTTATAATCAAGACGCGCAGGCGTTTTTCAGCGCACGGAATTTTTCGTTCGGATACAAAAAAACCACAACTGAGATTTCAGTAATGACAGATTCGTAGGATAATAGCCGATGACTGTGTTTTTATAACCGTTATGACTCATCACGTCTTTATCGCCTCGTCTGACTTTGTGTCGTTTTTCCCTTTCAGGGCGTAATCCTTGAAGAGCCACCTGTTATGGAGAGTAGCAAAAACAAGCCAGTGTTCTACTTAGACGGAGGCGTACGAAAAGGCTCAATGTCATCACAAGAGGACAGCACTGGCAGCACGCCAACTCCATCCTACGTCGCCGATCCAGGCGGCTCGCTCGCGTTTGACTTCCAGAAGTGCAGCACGGACAGTGGCGCCACCTCGCCGCCGGCGGCCAACAACAAGTACCTCGTGCCCGACAGACTACCAAACTGCTTTAGCGACGATCGGCTGACCGAATCGGGAAGTCCCACCGAAAACTCGCTGCACGTCAGCTTCAGCTATAACGCGCTGTCGCCATCATCGGGAGCGACGGCATCGTCTTCGTCGGCGTCGTCGTCGTCGGTGGACAAGGCGAAGCACGCCGGCAAGCTGCGGAGGCTGCTGCGCAGGAGCCACAGCGCCGGATGCGGAAAGGACGTGCCGTCGCACGCTCTGTTCCTGCGGGAACACAAGGAGAAGCAGGTGCGTTGGCAAGGGCTTGTCGCTTGCGGCAACACTAGCTATGTATGCTGTTCTGTGCACGGGCTAGCTCTAGAACTATAGTCCTTCTCTCTGCCACAGGCAGTGACCTTTGGCAGAGCGAAGGACTTATTTACACAATGCTTTGGTGTGACATTTGGGATTACCGGTTTGCGACTTTAGCATCGGTAAACCTTGGGCAGCTAAGGAAGGCGTTTTTCGCGACAATGTTCAATTACACTTGTCTCATTAATTGGGTAGTGTAGCAGAGACGAAAGACGCATTCACACGTGGGTTTGCGAAAATGAAAGGGTTAGTTCATTGTCAGTAGCAGAGCTACTGCCCGCCTCGCCCATAGCTCGTGCATATGCCGGCACTGGCAATAAGAGCCATAGATCTAGAGAGACATGATACAACATTGCGTGGCACAGCTTTGCTGTTGATCCTGAGCGCTGCGCGCGGATGAGACGCGCAGTTCGCGGGATATGCGCACGCGACCGCGGTGATGTTCAAGTATGAAGCGCTGTCCGCAGTGGAAACGTGCGCAAAATTCGAGGCCCGGCGCACGTCTCCACAGCGGTCAGCGGATGGTCTGTAGTTTTAGAAGATAACAATGAAGACTTTGTTCTAAATAAGAACTATCGGCGGCTAAATAAGAGCAATATACAGACCTTTGAATTTCTTGACTAGTCAGTCAAAGGGCTTGTTGGGGGTCCATTATGCAGAGCGTCCAATTGAAATGGCCCCTGAAATTGTCAAGTGTAATTGTGTTTTTCGGAACCCCAAAGAAAATGTATCCCTCTTACATGAACTCCCGCCCTGTTAAATCACGCATTCAGGCGTAAACAATAACAGAGATGAAATTGTGTTGAGTTTATGGCTCTTGAAGCACGTGCATTGACGTACAAGACTGATGAAAGCACAGGCACTTGGAACGTCTCAATAAAAATAAATCTTCTCACAATGATCGACCTCCTGTGTGCAAAATAGGTGAACGTATGTGAAACATATACGGTTAGTACTTACTGTGACATATCCGTGACTAACTGACACCACTAAATTGGTAAAATGTTTCATGCACCTTAAGAAATTCTGAGAAATTCTGAGGTTATCATCGCAGAACTCCCGACACCGCCCATCCTGAAGTCAAAATACTATATGTAAACTAGAGCACTCGGAGAGCACAGACCTCCGCCAAGGCAGCTGAATTCTTAAAATGTGAAATTGTAATAATTAATTAAGTGGAAAAATTAATTAATTAATTAATTAATTAAATAATTAATTGGATTCGGATCACCACCAAAATGTAATCAATTCTAAGTTACCCCATTTCTGACCTATCCTGGAAATTTTATTAATTAATTAATTAATTAATTAATTAATTGGATTCGGATCACTACCAAAATGTAATCAATTTGAAGTTACCCCATTTCTGACCTGTCCTGAAAATTTTACTAATTAATGAATGAATGAATTAATTAATTGGATCCGGATCACCGCCAAAATCTCATCAATTCTAAGTTAGCCCATTTCTGACGTATCCTGAAAATTTCATGACAATCCGTCCATAACTTTTTCAGTTAGGCTTTACCTGTATGATACAGGCGGTTCCGGCGTGGCGGCGGCGGCGGTAGCGGGCCAATCAGCCAATCAGCGAGCGTACACAAACCCACGAACCAACACTCAAACACACGCCGGTGAAAACATAACCTCCGCCAAGCCCCTGGCGGAGGTAACAAACACGCGTGTTGCGAGGTGCGGAGTTCCAGAAGGACGTAGCGCAGTGCGTTAAACAGCGTGTTATTCTCGTATTTGTGCCAAACTCTAACGCAGGAAACTGTTCTAGCCTAGCAGAATGCCCTAGTTCTTGAGATCGGCGATTTGGTGGTCCAATGGGTCCTCATATTTAAAAATATAAAACTCTGGTGCGGCGTAGGCTGTGATTGGAAGACACAAAGTGTCAATCTTCGGCGCGCCTCGGCATCATGGCCGCATCACGTCTAGAATAGCGTTGCCAAAATAAACATGGCTGATCAGAGCGCCGCAATCTGTGGATGTTTACTAGCAGCTGGTCCATGTCTAGAAAGGAGGACCTGCGTGGCCTCAAGACGCTTCCATCCGGAAGGGGCGGTGACAGCAGGTGGTCAGAACAGAAACCAGGCCCATGCGGGACGGTGTGATTGAGCGATGTGAAATCGAGTGCAGAGTAGTGATTGTAGTACAGAGTGCTTTCCCATAAATCTACATGGGATTTTAGTGACAAACATTTCGGGTTATCCTTGCGTGTGGCCCCCGTGTAGTGAGCGGCCCGTCAAGCACGTAATCTACGGGATGTTTGGCAGACGGACTATTAGCGGGGTTGTGTAGAAGCAGAGATGGATTTTATTCGTGCGACGACTCGACCGCTTTCATTACAAAAGCAGTGTAACTCTATCATGCCGCCTATTTTGCTTAGTAGTGTATTGGCGAGAAACGCGATGCGCGTGTGCACCCGCAGCAAGGCAGAGAGACGGCGGCTGTTGCTGCGGGCCGTGGTGCGGGCGTGGATGCAGAGAATCCCAGCACTTGTTCTTCGTGGCACATCTCAGAAGTGTAGCATTCAGCACGAGTGAGATCATCGTGATATGGACAGCGAGAGGCAAATGATTGATAAGGGTTTTGCTATCACTTAAGGATACTGTTACGGTTACGGACTGGTGACACTGTAAAGGGCATTGCAATATCATAAGTGCTCTTCAAATTCAATCAAACTCATATCCATTACATAAGAGAGATGTCTCTCTACGCTCTTGATGGAACGATGGAGGCTTTTTTTCTTTGATATGTTAGCATTGAAACGTAACAAAAAATTTTGGAATCGGAGTTGTGAGTTTCGAGAAATAGCGTTTGAAAAATCAGCAACTTTAGCATTTCTAACAATGGAGATATTAGCACTTTTCTAAATTTCCCATGATTGAACGCTTGCGTTAAGAATTGACTAATGCGGGGATTTGGAACTGTTTGGGAGGCACATACATAATTTCTACGTATACATAGCTGCCCATGGGTGCGATCTATCAAATAAAGTGGATATTGAAATTTCGACCGAAAATCACCTCCCAACCCTAACCCTATCCGCTTCGGACGGTAACGAAGGTGCGAATGTTTGCTGCGGATAATATGGCAGTGTTACAAAATAACAGATTGCATCTGCGCATTTGGCTCCTGATGATATCTAGGTTATTAGTCATGTCTTGAGCTTATTCTGACTAAAGCTATCAAAAATAAAAAGGGAGATTCTGTCGCAAAATGTTAGTACGCTTGACATAAAACATGCTCCGGAACTATTACCCGGTGAAAAACGTCTTAGGTGGTTAAAAATACATTAGCCTTGGACTATTTGCCTTTTTTGACTGGACAAGAAATGTTGACGGATCCCACGTGGATGTGCTGTGTCGAAATGTAAAACAACAAGAAGTGTAGTACGTGACGTGACCGTGAAAGATAAAAGGAAATACTAAAATAGTTTGATAATATCTATTACCTATATATACACAATGGAATTGATTTAGGTCTAGAGCCTCAGTAGATACAGACAGCAGAACTGGAAGGTATATAACTTTCTATGCTGAACCTAAAGTAGTCATGGTGTGTGTCGCGGGCAGATCTTTGTGTCACCGATTACCATGTTTACATCACAACCTTGCTATACACTCTACCCTTGTTATGTTGCACCTCATCGCTGATATACCCCCTACACTGATATATACCACACTGCTGATATATATATATATATATATATATATATATATATATATATATATATATATATATATATATATATATATATTATTGCACTGTTATACCAGCAGAGGCTTTCGGACGAGCGTAGATGGCGATTTACGTGTAAACGAACGCATGCATGGAAAACCCGACCCATTATATTGACAATTGATAAGCATTTTGAACGAGTGATTCATGTCATATTCAGCTACATACAGAGCAGATAGGTGCATGGCGGCACAATTCTTTATTTCGCAGCTGAATATCAAATAGAAATTGGCAACTCGCACTGCGGTGATCGCGCGTTATACAACAAATATTTAGCTCGACTTAGCACATACGGGGGGAGGGGAGATTTTCTCCCGCCGGGAGTGTGGCAGGACGCGGTTATTTGTGCAGATGGCGCTGAACAACGCAGTTGTCGTACTTACTCGTACTCGAGGCTTTGAAGAAGTTGGAAATGTCAAGAGACATTCATGAAACTATAAAGGAAATTGATACCATGTTTTCTCAATTCATCTGGAATAAAAAGCCTCCAACAATTAAAAAGTCAATGTTAGTGAAAATGTATGATGAGGGGGGTTTGAAAATGGTTAAAATGGAAAATTATGTAAACAGTCTGAAATTATCATGGGTTAGAAGATATTGTCTAAAACAGAATACTTGGAGTGTATTTCCTGAAAGATACAGTGTCAACACCATACTAACAATGGGCCCTAAGTGCCTAAAGCAGGTTCTAAAAATTGAAAATCCATTTTGGTCAGATTTAGTGAAAAATTTATACCCGGCACTTTAACACATATATTGAACCAACCACTTTGGGGAAATCCCTCTGTAAAACTAGAACTTATCAAGGCATGGCAGAATAAAAATCTTACACGTTTTGGAGATCTTGTGAAAGAGAATAATAACATTAAAACACTACAGGAATTGAGATCAGACTTCAAAATAACTATTACCTTTCTTGATTATCATAGATTAATAAAGGCAGTACCCAAACATGGCTAGATAAAATTATGGCCCAAAAAATTCCGCATTGTGTGTTTATACTCCCACAGTTGCAGGTTGTTCTAGCGGTTAAAAAGGGCTGTGGTGCCTACACAAATATTTATTCCCAGAGTAAAATAGATATAATTCCATTCTCCCAAAATAAATGGAGGCGGGATCTTGCTTTGCGAGATGATTATATTATTAACTGAAAAAGAATATATAAGCTACCCTTTTTAGTTACACTTGACACA